CCGGCGCCGGGCCAGCCCTGCCCGCTGGGTGTCCCGGCCCCAAATGGAGGAAGGAGGGGGTCCCAGACCTAGATCAGGGGGTAAAGGGGGTCCTAGACCTAGATCAGGGGATACAGGGGGTCCTAGACCCAAATCAGGGGGTACAGGGGGTCCTGGCCTCAAGGCAGGGTGCAGAGGGGGTCCCAACCCCAAATTGAGGGAGGAAGGGGTCCCAGACCTAAATCAGGGGGTACAGGGGGTCCTGGCCCCAAGGCAGAGTGTAGAGGATGTCCCAACCCCAAATCAGGGTGTACAGGGAGTCTCAGCCCCAAGGCAGGGTGTGCAGGGGGTCCTGGCCCCAAATCGAGGGAGGAAGGGGTCCCAGACCCCAGTCAGGGGGTCCTGGCCCAAATCAGGGGGTGCAGGGGGTTCCAGTTCCACAGGAGGGTGGGCACAGGGTCCTCCCCAGCCCCCCATGCTCACTCTGTGTCCCCCCGCAGTCCCCAGGCTGTCCCCAGGATGTGGTGGCCCGTGCTGCTGGCCCTGCTGGTCCCTGCGGCTCCGGCCCAGCTGCACCCAGAGCAGGAACTGGACGCGCAGTGGGAGCTGTGGAAAAAAACCCACCGCAAGCAATACAACGGCCAGGTATGGGGGGAATGGGGCTTGGGACCCCCCCAGGGTGGGAGATGTCCCCAGGGCGGGGGGCACAAGCAGGACCCCGTCCCAGCACCATCTCCCCCCGGCGCAGGCGGACGAGGTGACGCGGAGGCTGATTTGGGAGAAGAACCTCAAATACATCAACACCCACAACCTGGAGCACTCCCTGGGCCTCCACACCTTCGAGCTGGCCATGAACCACCTGGGTGACATGGTGGGTGTCCCTGACAGGTGACAGAGGGGGGGCTGAGCACCTCTGGGTGGTCCCACCCACCGGGGTTCCTTCCCCAGACCAGCGAGGAGGTGGTGAGGACAATGACAGGGCTGAAGGTGCCCCGAGGTCACCAACGCCACAACGAGACCCTCTTTGTCCCTGACTGGAGTGAGAGAGCCCCAGCTGCCATGGACTGGCGTAAGAAAGGCTACGTGACCCCTGTGAAGAACCAGGTGAGATGGGCGTGCCCTCAGTGTCACCTCAATGCCACCCCAGTGTGTCACCCTGCTGTCACCCATCGTGTCCCCACAGGGCCAGTGTGGCTCGTGCTGGGCTTTCAGCTCGGTGGGTGCCCTGGAGGGGCAGCTGAAGAGGAAAACAGGCAAGCTGCTGTCCCTCAGCCCCCAGAACCTGGTGGACTGCGTGGCCAACAACGATGGCTGCGGCGGCGGCTACATGACCAACGCCTTCGAGTACGTCCGCCAGAACCGCGGCATCGACTCCGAGGACTCCTACCCCTACATCGGCC